TGAATCCACGAAGTGCACGGATTCGCAAAGTACGACACAAGCCTGAGCCACTTCTGTAGGGTTGGGCACGGGGTATGTTGGCGTACGCAGCTCTGCTTCCGACAAAGATGCGATAAGACAGGTTAGGTCTCGGAAGAGCCTTCCGAGACCTAACCTGTCTTATCGCATCTTTGTCGGAAGCAGAGCTGCGTACGCCAACATACCCCGTGCCCAACCCTACAGAAGTGGCTCAGGCTTGTGTCGTACTTTGCGAATCCGTGCATTTCGTGGATTCACAAAGTCTGGAAAATAATTAGTAGATAAGTAAGTATAATTATGACTCAAGTAGTTTCCCGTTTAAATGACTGCCTGTCGCGTAAGTCAGATGACGAATTCAAAACATTTACGCTGGTCGAATGTTGAGTCAGTAATAACTTTGTGTTCACGAGTTCATGCCTTTCACGCTTCGGAGGACTCACCAGGGAGGGATGGTAGGTCGAAGTGGCCGTTTAAAATGAGATGCATATCTCCTGATGCGTCTCCGAACGCTGATTCCAAATCTATTTTCCAAATCTGCTGAACGATGCTGTGAACAAAATTACGAAGGTTTTTCCCCGCAAATGGTGTGATGGTCTAACGGTTGAAGAGACTGATCTGCAGGTTCGACGCTAGGGGATCGGGTCCGTTCGCTCAGAGTCTTTGCTTTTTTCATATCTCGTCAACAGAAGTTAAATTATTGTCTTTCGATAAACTTTTCTTTTGAATATTCTGACTTTGGCATTGCGGCATTCTAGCGTGCGCAACGCACGAACGAGGCGTTTTCACGCCGAGGGAGTGTGACCATCGCCTTCAGGAAGTCAAACTACCCCTTAACACAAATTTCTAGCCAAATCGAAAATTTGACTCCTAAATCGAAAAAGTGGGGTATCCATGGGTAACATGGAAAGCCTAGTAGCTGGTGCCTTCGACAGCATCCACGAGCACAACCTTTGTGGGCAAGAAGATTCTGATAGTTGAAACTCCATAAATCACCACAAATCACAAATCACAGTAGAAGGCCCACATAAAAATAACCTTCATTTAGCGCCGCGTTGCCAGGACCTCTTCCTGACATTGACCGCTGCCCAAAACTATCGCGTCACAGCACTACTTCGAAGTAAGGTAAAAACCTCAATACCCCTAGGTTGCACTAGAGAGAGTATACTGGGTTCTTATGCGAAATGTTTATGAGACTCTTCCTCAACATATCATTCTACCGCTATTTACTGTTTTTAGCAAGGGCTTAACTTGCTTGGTGTATAGAAGAAAAGAGCAATCATAAGACTCCACGACCGAATTGTCTTAAACGGTCTGATTTCTTTGAGAACAGCAGTTTTCGGCGATATGAGGTTCCATAAGCGTGCTAAAGTGGTTTGCAAACGCATTGAGCATAGTTTTGAAAAAGTGCAAAAGAAACTCTTTGCGGACCCGAACCCTTGACCTTGCATTACGAATTTGGCATAGTACCCACTAGACCACCTTTCCACATTCAAGCTATGCATGCGTGCGTGCTGAGCTTGGATCTGCTCCGTATTACGACAAGTTCCGCAGCTTTGCTCAGAGAATCGTTTAGCAGATATGGAGTACCTTAGTCAGGATTCGAGTAGCTTTCTGGTAATATGCATCATATTTCAAGTGGCCACTTCGACCTACCATCCTTCCTGGTCACCATGATCGATGGGCCCAGTAGAACTCTAGAAATTTTTAGCTAATTCGGATTAGCCTTGCGTTTCTTTACCCTAAACTTGAAATGTGCATACCAATTTCAAGGAAACACCTTTGAACGAATTACAAGCAGTTGCCAATCAAAGATTTGAGGAAAAATAAATAATCATGGACTAAGGCATTATCATACACAAAATCACTATGTAGAGTACCACGCAGGTCGATCAGCTCGACGGGGCGTGTGCAGAGTGTATTTTATATAGGACGAGAATTCATTCAAAAGGCTTTTACTTTCAGCTTTCAGCATGATGTATTGAATTGCGACGCGAAAGATTGTCGGAGGTTCATTGGTTTCAACTCTGGTTCGCCACTACTATTTTTTTCATTACTGTCTGGATAAAACCATTTAAGATATCCTTGGCGACAATCACACGATGGATTTCCTCAGAAATGAGCATTTTGATGTGGGCATCTCTGAAGTTTTTGCGCTATGTGGATTTGGAGTTTTTGAGGTTTGTTAGGGAAATACGGTCGGAGTAATAAATACAAGTTTAGAAAATGAAGTTCCAGCTAGCAAATACCTCCAACGTGGTTGCGGCTTCAGCTGTTGGAGTGATTGACATCATGAAAGAATTCATCGAAGTGCCGATAATGCCGAGTTTCATGCCGTGTAAGTACATACATTAACTCAAGCTTTTCATCGACCACTGTACATCTTTTGGAAACAACATTCCAACATTCTTCATATAATTGATAAACCCCAATTCAATTCCAACTTATCATGACAAAACTGTATATCGCCGCCCACATAGTATTCTCAACTCAAACAACGCAGGCCCTTGATATCAATTGACGTTCACGCCACGCGTAGATTAGCCATCACAGTGCGGTAAGGATTGGTGGCACCAATTAAGACTTTTTGATCAACAATCGGCGGGGATGAGTTGAAGGCAATGTTTGGGATCCAGCTGTTGCGTTAGCGTGCTTGAAAACAATAGTTAATAATGTCAAACTTAATTATTAAGAATAAAATATTCAACAAATGAGGCCCAGGGATAACTCCATTTTTCTACATAACAGTGTTCAACTGTAAAAAAGGTCGTCAAGGTCAAAAAAACTTTTCACTGGCAGCGAAGCGGAATGCATTGATTCGCGGTGTGGATCTGTGGTGGTGGGTGGAACCCTTGGTGTATTCTCAAGCTTTCATGTCCGGGGATATCCCGCGCGCTAGCGTACCACCCCAAAATTTTCTGGTGGTTTTATTCCGTCTAGAAGTGTGCCTTCACGGATGGTGAAAAAGGAGCAAGTGAAGGTGAGAGTGGGGAGATGATCCAACGTTTAAAAAGGAATCTCCCAAAAAAGAAAAGGATGCGCAACTCTCTACAAACTGTAGGCTGATCGAGGCCTCGGCCTTGCGGCTCTCCACGGCGGCCGAGTAAAAACCGAAACGTGTCGGTTCATATTGTATCGTCATCCTTTGCTCTCCATTCTGGAAAGGGGTTCCATCTCGAGTAGACCTATGTTTTAGTTTTGCGAGTAATGTTACATGATGATGTTTTTTGACATGATACGATTATCGTGTGCAATCGGGCTCTGCTTATTTGCTGGCTTCTCGAATGCTAGCTGAAAGGGTCATATTTTCAGGACCTCTTTTCTTGTTTTTCTCCGCCACACCACCTTTGTCCACCTCGACACCATTTTCAACGGGCTCCATTTTATCTTAAAACCCCTTTACCTAATGCGGATCCAATCATTCGGACAAGTTTCCGATTTTTGAGGTTGTTGCTATGTGAATGCCACGCGCTTCCATTCCTCTCTCTAAACTGCTCCGCAAATTTTGGCTGTATAGCACTCGAAAAAAAAAACAAAAGCAAACCGATGCGCTTCAGACAAACCTTGAAATATCAAAAGATCCATTTCACATTTATTTTCGTATTCAGGATGATATCCGTTCCATCCTGAGCTGCGCCATTTTTTACAGTAGTTCTCTTCAACGGCATGCCCACAAATCTTCTACCGCAAGCATTGCTCCACTCTTCACCAAGGTGAACGGCTATAGAAAAATACTTGTGCATATCATTTCCAGAGAAAGCAGTATTTAAAATAAGCGCAGCAGGCAGTTCTAGCGATTTCGGGTTGGAGGAGAAACTTTCGAAGGGGAAACCCTGTGGTGATCGACGATGCTCTGGAAAAAAGAGTCCCTCAAAAACGAAGCGAAAACTCGCTACGACCAGAGAGTGTTACTTTCTACATCTGACATCCTTGATCACCAAGCATGCACTTTTCAAGGGAACTACCATGTTAGCTGAATCGACGCTAACGCTTCGCGCTGCAGCAACCTAATTATGATTCATGGAATCAAGGAAGAAAACCGCAGGAAAGATCTCTACGTAAAATACGAAAAATCAGTGTGAAACTACATAATGTACCTACTCGCTCCACCTGGTAACAGAAATGATGCACAGTGGCACAGAACTGCCCCAATGTGTTTGACACTTTGGCAGACAATTTCGGTCAATGCTGACCGACAGCCAGTCTGTCACATGGGACGATGTCGGTCAATGGTGATCCGACAGCTAGTTAATAAGGAAAATCTAATGTAACCCGCGACTTTATTTTATTTTAATAAACGCTCGGTGTCCTAAGTCGAACTGTTTGGCTGGTCCTATGATCTGTCCAATAAATGGAAGTTTTTGTCCTATTAATTACCAGTTGCATAAAAGCGCTGCAGATAGAAGTTTAACAAATTTTCTTGTGCCTTACGAGGTTGTTCGGTGGAACCTTTTATTAATGGCCTAACGTTTCGACTGAATCGTCGTCTTCAGAGGCCGTCGGTTCCACCCTTCGAGCGGAAAAGTCCGCTGCCACACAGAGCGCTGATCAGTTAGAACTGATAACTGATAACTGATCAGTTGGCAGCGGACTTTTCCGCTCGAAGGGTGGAACCGACGGCCTCTGAAGACGACGATTCAGTCGAAACGTTAGGCCATTAATAAAAGGTTCCACCGAACAACCTCGTAAGGCACAAGAAAATTTGTTAAACTTACAACTGACATGCCGAGGTTACAAGAAGAGAGAAGTTGGAGAATGCTGCAGATAGAATTATAACATCAAAGTTCTTACTGTCAGCAAAGTGAAATGTCATTTAAGATGTTAATATCGACCTTCGATCATGAATTCACCGGCAATAGAAAGTCCATATGTAGCCATTTGAAATTGAGATTCTTTTGATGGTCATTAGGTACAGTATCGTGTGCGGAGAAAGAAGCACCCATTGAGTCTTTTACAAGAGAGGTCTTTCTGGGCAAGCCACGCTTTTTCAAAATGGTTTCCTGCATATTGAGGGACGCATGTAGGGAACGCTAATACCAAAAAAGAAGCATAAGGTCCGAGAAGAAGCGTAGGTTAAGGGTTCGATCCCCCGTGGCGACTAAATTTTGCATTTGGGTTGGCGCCTACGGTTTGGTGCCAAATCGCGCTAAATATCAAAATCAGATGTCAAATTCATCGTCAGGACCAACAAGTGGCCGCCAACCTTGATTGCAAAATTTAGTCGCCGCGGGGGATCGAACCATCAAGGGTATCATTCACCACTTTTTTGGTACTACTAAAACCGTTCAGCGAAAACGAAACATGGTTTTGTGGTCCATACATGCGTCCCTACAATATGCAAGAAACCGTTTCCAAAAGCGCGGCTTGCCCTGAAAGACCTCCCTTGTTAGTGTCCGGACTCGTTTGAATCAGTTCTCCCACCTTATATGATTACGAAAAACAATATAACGGTAAGACAAAGGAGCCTTCACGTTAGGTAGGCTTCTCGCATCACTTTTGAGGAGAAAACGTATAAGACATTCTATTAATTTGTCTCAAAAGCTCGTTCAATAATTTTTTGAGTCAACATTATCTCAACAAAAAGCAATATCCGTCATCCATATACGGACCCTCACCATCAGTGACTTATTGTAAATGATTCACCGGAGAGTCAACGCCGTGCTTCCAGAAGGTCGGCGTTCCAAGTTTCAAGCTAAATGATGCGGGAGGGTCTGAGCTTCTTCTTTGATTCTTATTTTCCTGCATAGTGATTACTTAGCGATAAGAGTACACGACCTC